TATGTGAATGTAAAAAAAGGGAAGAAAAATTTGTTATATTTTAAAATCGTTTTTATTTGTTAGGTCCTCTTTCAGAGAAATGTAAATATCGAAGGACAACAAAAAAAGATTTCTTTTAACTTTGTTCTATTCGTTGATAAAAAATAAAGTTATATTTTTAATTGAGCATTGTGTGTCCCACGTTGCTACATATATTGTTTCGTGGAATGAAATAATAAAAATTAATAGAAAAGAAAACAGAACAGAACAGAACCGAAAGAATGAAAGAAATATTTTTGTCTGCGTCGAAAAAAAGAAAAAGAAAAACGGAAAATTATATTTAATTAAATGGATGTGTTGCTAACTTCAACGAAGACCCGAGAATAAGCATGACAAAAAATGAATATTAAGTAGAATGTTTTGATTAATTTGACACGCGTCAACGAAGCATAATTTTCATTACACACACACACACACACTCCCACACACACATATATACTTATATTCACGTGCATACACATATACAAAAGATTATGGTACGCTCGAAGAAAGTTGCTTGTTGTGTGAACGACATGGCAACATGAAAGAGAGAGAAATTGTTAGGGAGGGATAAAAACACAGAAGGGGGTTGCCATTAGACGACAGACTCTCTCGGTAGAGAGAAACGCGTTCGTGTAAAAATCTTGCGAACTTTTCTCTCTCTCTCTTTTTTTCTCTTTCTCTTTCTCTCTGCCCTCGTTTCTTTCCAGGGAAAATTATTTCTTTCGTGAACCGTGCGAGATTGCGAAAATTTTCCGCTCCTTTTTCGACCTGCAACACGCTCCAGTTTTTTCCTTTTTTTTTTTATTTTATTCTTCCTCTCTTTATACTCCTCCCCTCCCCTACCCCCTGCCAGCATCCCCTTCTTCTCCCCCCCGCTACCTTTTTATATTTTCAAGATGCATAAACAAAAAAAGTAGGAAATTAATCTGACAAGTGAAGATTAAACGAGACAGTTGGTAATTAGACGATAAGAAAAATATATCCGAAGTTTGAAATTTTTCTAATCTTGATTTAGTAATATTTTCATTCAAGAAAATATAGGTATGTGTATGTATTTATAGTTTTCTCCATCTCCATTTCTTTATTATCAAGTATTATGAATTAATAACGAATGTAACAAAAAATAGGAAATAAAAAATGAAAATTTAATAATAAAGAAATGTTGCGTAAATATATATATATATATTTTTTTAAGAATTAAAATAAAAAGTTATAGAGTTCAATTTTTTAATTCGATCAGAGATCATTTTCTCTCAAGAAGAAATAATATTTAAATTATGTATTTTTTGTTTTTGTTTTTTTTCTCATATAAGTATATATACATATGTATAAAAGATCGGTTGCATCTATGGCGTTAGGTATCCAGTAAAATATAATAGTACGATAGAATTATCATCATATGAGGAAATGTTAGTCATTCTTCGGCGTCGTACTTATCGTTAGATTTCTAATGAAATTAATATACGTCAGAATAGTGTTGACAGGATGTTGCATCGTTGGAAATCATCTGTACACTTTTTATGAACTTATCATATATATATATATATGTTACTGGAATGGTAAGAAATCCGACAATGTTAGCAATACCCGACATTGTCCTCAATGCAAAGCGTTTTTATTTTTCTATTAGAAATACTTCAAATATATGCGCGATAATTGTATACAGGAAACTTTGGCGCAGGAAAAAATTAGCAGAAAAAATTTTCAACAACAATTCTCCTCTTAAAAGATTCGCGAGGAGTAGGAAAATTTAATAGGGATGTGGAATAAGGAGGAGGAAAGTATAGTTCGTTGAACTTTATCCAAAATTATAACGCGCAAGTTCGTCTCGAAAGCTTGTTTTTTTTCTTTTTTTTTTTTAATTAATATCGGTTGCTCGTTACCGACGAGACGAAATTTTAATTGCAGGGGTTCGTTAAAGTCTTCGCATCTATCGCGTGTGTTAGTTATTTACGTCCTATTCTCCGTCACTGTTTCTCTCTGTATCTTTTTATCCATCTCTCTTCTTCTTTTCTGTGACAAGTCGTAACAGGCAGTTCGAGTTTTATCGAAACAAGGCGTAGACGGGCATCGACACTTTTTATCGTGTAGAACTTTTGTTGAATATTTTTTTTTTGCGCTTTATCCAAACCCCATATATATATATATGTTACCGTCGAAGCCGGAAATCAGTCATTGCATACGCAACCCCTCCCCCCAAAACAACCCATACAAGTAAAAAACATTTCTTTCTAAACCTGTTTATCTTTCGATACGATAAGGAACAAAAGATACAGATTTCCATGGAAATTTCTATGAATATCTGTCTAATTAATGTCTAGAAAATATAGCCTGAACATTTGCAAATCGATTTATAACTCGATAGGAAAAAGAGTGTACTTTAATTTAATATAAGTTTTATTCAAATCTATTCACTCTAAGTATAAAAAATATTTGCCGAAACTTTTCAAAGAAATGGCAAAGATTCACAATTTACAGCATTGCATTCTCTGACATTTTATGAACTTTTGCAGATTGATTTATAACTAGGAAAGGTACTCTACGTGTAGACAAAAGAGTGTACTTTAATATAATATAAGTTTCATTAAAATCTATTCACTTTTAGTATAAAAAATATTTACCAAAACTTTTCAAAGAATTAGCAAAGTTGTACAATTTATAGCATTGCAATCTCTGATATTTATATATATATCGTCAAACGTATTTTCGTTTTCTTACAATTAGAGATTCTCAGTGCGAACCAACGTTGCTAATGTTGTCTTTCTATACGAAAAGTTGATATTTTCAAATTCAAAATTCAAAGATTTTATTAATATATTCATAAATATGTATTATCGTTATTTCTACTTAAATTATCTTAAGTTATCATATATTCCCGAAATTCATTAGACCGTGAATTATTTCATTAAAATTATAATAATGTAGTACATAAATCTTACAATTAAATAATTTCGAATTCTTCTTAGTTTCATTTTAATTGACGCTAATGTCGTTGATTATAATGACTTATTAATAAATAACATGATAGATATGAATTTGATATTTGTATTAAAAAAATTCACTGACATAAATGAATAAAGTGAGATAAATTTTTTTTTGCAGGTCAAGTAGACTTGTGCTTTTTTCCTCAGCAACAGGTTTTAATCAAAATTGCGTAAATTGAATAATTAAAATGTTAAGTATTCATTTAGTGTTAGAAACTTGGAATTCTTATTAGTTTTTAAACGACATTAACGTCGTCAATTAAAATGACAAATTAAACAATAATGTAATACATTTACATTTGATATTTCGAAACAAAAATTCATTATCGTAATTAAAAGAAAAGAAAAAAAGAAAAGTTTATTTTCAGTCAAACTTCGTTTTTCTTTTTAAGCAACAGGTTGTAATCAGGATTGCGTGAATTAATTAATTGAAACGCGAAGTATTTAAGAGAATGAAAATAACTTTAAGTTTCTCATTAGACAATTCGTGGTACCTGCTTATATAATAAGTAAAATAATTTATTTTAAATAATAAAACAAAAAGTACTGGCATTTCTTTTTTTTTTTCAATGTAGAATATTATTGGAAAATAAAAAAATTGATTATTTAAACGCACTTGGTAAAAATTTAGTATCAATAAATTGTTCCTATCGACCATTTTTTTTCGATCTAATTTTGGAAGGATCAACAAATAAGAAAGTAAAGATACAAAATGTATTTAATTAACGATATACATTGATTAATATTATCGTCAACAAGCTGTCTTTCCATTTTAATAAACAGTCTTTCTATTTGAACGTCGTATTTTTTAATGATAAACCAATCTAAAAATTGATTAATTTATCGAAAATTGTTTGAGAATAAATTCTACGAATGATTTCAACCGTATAAAACGGTTTATTCGAGCGATAAATATGAACGAACATAGAATACAAATTAAACGAAAGTTTTCACTTAAGAATTTTCCATGAAAATTAATAGAAGGGTTGAAAGGAAGGAAGGAAAGGAAAACGATTATTTTCGTTAACATTTTTCACGAGAATAAAGAGTAAATGTTATTATTTATCGATTCTATTCGATTGTATTCGAAGAATCGATCATTTCTTCGGCGAAAAATTCCAATAATTAATTGAGTTTAAAGAAATAAAATGAACGTTTAATTAGGGAATAAAAAAGAACACACGATAACCTTATCGTCGATGAAAATTTTTAACTTTCCGATATTACTTGTCGAACATCGGAAATCGATATCACGAATATCGTTTTTTATTAACCCTTCGTGTCCCATCTTTGCTACTTTAGTACTTACTATGCGTTCCACGCATCTGAATTTATATCTCGTTGACAAAGGAAAACTATGTATGTATATATGTAACTACATTGATAGTATGAAGCTTCTATTTTCTTTATTTAATTAAAATTATCGATTTTTCCAATGTATTGGCTCGTTTGAAATCTTCCTATCTATTTTTAAACTAACAATTTTAAAATTTCAATACAACTTGAATAGATTGAAAGGTTTCGAGTCTAAAATACAAACTATTTTCTTTTCTTTTTTTTTCACAATTTCTTTTTACACGGAGTGCAAAGTTACTTTTTCATTTTTCGACACGTTGTAAAAAAAAAAAAATAACTTTTAGAACTTTTCAATCCACCACCCTCTTATTTATAAACCGTCACTAACTTTTCGTACAAATCGAGAGTTAATGCATATTCCTGATATATATTTTTAAAATCATTGATTTTGTATTTATTTATTTATTTGAGAACAATCATTCATTATTATTATTATTAATCTATTCGTCAAACTCGAACGATGAAAACTAATTCGTATAAAATATATAATCGATTCAATCTTATCGAATACAAGATTCTACGATTAAAATATAAAAGACAATAGTTTAATGACAATCGAAGAAACGATCGTGTCCAGACAAATTAATTATACAATTTGTTTATAATATATGAAGTACAAACTCGTATACTAATTTCCAGATCGTTCGGTGATGAAATATACTCTCTCTAGAAGATAAAGATTACCAACAATAAAATTTAGGCCGATAGCGATGATGATACTTTGAACGTTTGATAATCACTTCCTCCTTACCTTCATCTTTCTCGCTGTTTTTCGAAAGAGAGAAAGAAAGAGGGTGAAGGGGGAGGGAGTGGGCAGGGCAGAGGTAGGGAAAGAGGCCGTAAATTTAGAGGTGTACGAAAAATGAAATGGGGGAAGGGGGTAAATTTAAGGTGATTAAAAATTGAAGAAGGGTTAATAGAAGAGGAAAGAGGAAGTGGGAGAAGAGGTGAACGGGGAAGGAGGGGAGGAAGATACGTTCGAGAGATATTTGGACGTGGATGCTGTGGCCCGTGTTGGGGGATGATGGGCTAAGCCCAACGTCGCCCCCACCGGCGACCAGTGTTAAGGGCGTCAACAAACTGGCACCCTTTCTTCTTTGTGCACCCTGCAAGCCGAGCCAAAGGAAGAATCAAAGTTCAACGCAGTGGTACGTGCAGCAGGTAAAGAGACACGCACGAAAGCGCTACTCTTGGTCGTTTTTTTTTTCTTTTTATTCTCGACATATTATTCATTTATTTACTTTTTTATTTTGTGTGCGTACCAATTTTGATTTATTTCATTATTTATTTTTTTAATATATATTTTTCCCTTCGTATTCGTGTTTAGCACATTTGTGTATTGTATGTACCTGCATAAACGTTTCTCTTGATATTGTTTTAGATTTTTTTTTATGTATATTTTATAATTAAATATTGAAATAGAATGTTCCGTTAATTATTATTTATAGGATTTTATCTTTAACATTTTCACTGCCATTTTGATATTTATTTTTCTTAAGTAGCGTCTTCTTTTCTTTCTTTCTTTGAATATTATTATTATTAATTAATTAATAAATGAACGTGTTAATTTCATTAAGAATTTATCTTAATCGTTGTCGGTTGTTGATTATTTCGGTCCGATTTCATGATTTTTATGACTTCTCTGTGTTTCTGCTTACGTGTCTCTATATATGTATTGTGCGAATATCGATATTTTTTTTCCTTTTTTTTTCTTTTCTCCTTCATTTAATGGGTTGTTTATTGATAATAAAATGATACTCGTCGAGAAGTTCGACGAGTATGAATTATTGAATGCGATTACGTCGTTTTCGATAAGATATTACGTAAGAAGAACGGCGCACTTTTTAAACGTCGTGTTAAAAAAACTGAAAACCTTGATCTGGAATTCTATTCTTCATGTTTTTCGTTTATTTACCTTGGGTGATTCATACGATGATCGAAAAATCGATACGACGATGTATATATGATTTTTGTAAAGAAATTTCTCTTCAAAATTTGTGCGTTCTACCGCAAATTAATTCTTTTTTTTTTTAATAATAATAATAATATATATATATCGTGTAATTAAATACATTGAAAATTAATATACTAAAATATACTATAAAAATAATCTAATGTCGGCAAATTTTCCCCATCATTTTTTTTTGCAAGCATTCGTTTATTTTCTTTTCTTTCGATATTATCTAATACATTTTCTGATTAGAATTCATAATTCGTCGAATGATATCATCGGGAAAATTCGAATCGATTTGACGGATACAATGAAAAGATAAAAATCAAGATGATAAGAAAAAAAGTGGTAAAAGTAATTTACATTGATCTTTGTCAACAGAACAGAAGATCTTCTTCCGAAGATCATATTCTTCTTGTCTAACAATATTAAATATTTAAATGTATGTATGTGTAATGTTTGTAATATATGTATGTATATATGCATCATGTATGTGTACGTAGTAGCTCAAACTATAGGCGTTAGCAGTGTAATCGAGTAATCAGGGTCACAGTGCCATCGGAACTATATAGTTTGGCTTTAATACTACGCGGAAATGGTGGGGGTTACTATAATAGTAGAAGCTTCGATCGAGTTCATAGTAAATAAGTAGTAAGAATCTCTCTGTTCAATAAAACGAATTATTATTTGTAAAGGAAGGCCACGAAATACAATATAATCCTGGAATTTTCAAATTCAATTGAGATTATTCTCGAGGGTGTTGAAGATGTTCAACAAAATCAATTCAACAATCCCATAATAATAGGCAGTAAAGAAGAAAAACGGGTAGTAGTAGGGAATAAAACTGATTACAATTGAAACATTTTAAAAGTCAATTCGAGCCTGATTTATTTTTTATTTGATAATAATAATATCGAGGTCGCGATGAGAAATGGGGGAACAAAATTGTATTCATAATATTATAAGGAATTGTTACAACATTATTATAAATATTGATTTAGGTATAAGTGTGAGTTTCTTTTTTGTTATGCAAATTTTTCTTTACTTATTCGTTCGCGTACGTATTTCAAATATATATATATTTATATTTATTTAGATACGAAAATGAGTTGAAAATTTGTCGAGCTTATTGTGTTTTTATAAATTTGAAGAATTTAAAAATCTAGATTGTCATCCAGTGATATGCGTTTACACGCAGCTCGGAGTTTATAATTTTAAAGTGCTCGTGACATTTAATTTCCTGCCACGTGATTCATCTTGTGCCCTTAAGGCTTTAACAACAAACTTTAAGTTAATTGTCTATCCGCTACTTACAGTAGTAATACTTAAGTTGCCGTAGTGGCAACGACAGCTAACTACGGAACCGTGTAATTATGCGTTACCTGACCGGAAACCTGGACTTTAGATTTCTGTTAGTACGCGGAATTCAAACGGGAGGTGAGAAAATCCTTTGTTCCTTTCAAAATACGAGAGATATTATAGTGTTTCAGATCATATAATTATATTATCATTATATGATATACGCGTATTAGTTATTTTTGAATATACCGTCAGTTTGAAATTCATCATAGTCAAACAATTTAATTGTGTAAAATGAACGTTCAAACGTTCGATAATATTTCATTGTCTTTTTAAACATTTATACCAAAGATACAAATATACCAAGTGATTTCTGTTGAATTTAAACGAGACTATTCCTTTCGTCAAAATAATAAGTTCCTATAACACGGAAACGCTTTGTTTTCAATGTTACAATCAAAGTTTTGTTTTCTTTTTTAGTACTGTCAAATAGAACATTGGATAGAAATTCTCGAACACGTTGTATAATTTGTCTATAATCCAAATCTATGAATGTGCACAATGTATATATATAGTAGATAAACAGCAACGTAAAGATTGGCGCGTTTTCTCACGCTCCGTTGCATTCCACGTGACTGAGATCACAGTAATATTAAATTCATTCGAGAACGATTTGCGAACACTTGTGAAGTATAAAGAAGAATAGGAAAATTTGTTTTGTCGACGTTATTTGATTACTTTAAGATGATTTTAATAGATATTGTCATTTATATTCAGTGAATCGGAACGCATAGTATATGTGATGTACAATATATATGTGTATGTGCATTTATAAATGATTTCTACATATTATAATTATAGCAATCAAATTTGTCTCTATTTACAAAAATGAATTTACATTATTCGTTATATTCGATTATTAATTTGATTTATTTGCGATACAATTTTCTATTTTTCTTTTTTTATTAAAACAAATATCATTTTTACGTATCACGTATAACTATATAACATTTTATGTTTTAATATAAACTAAATGATCTTTTCCGTCTTTAGAATTAGCAATGCTCTGTTTTATCGTTTGCTCTTTGAACTTCCGTTGAGTTTCATTGCCCACGCGACTACTTTGTCGCGAGAATGTTTCTTCTCTTTTATTCTCTTTTATTCTCTCTCTCTCTCTCTCTCTCTCTCTCTCTCTCTCTCTCTCTCTCTCTCTCTCTCTCTATTTCTCTCTTTATTCGTAATTTTCTTTTTAGCAAGAGACACACACGTTGTTCCTTTTATATCCATAAATACATACACACACGCATACCGAGTGTCTTATTTTCAAATGAATCAGTATGGTCAAATATCTCAAAATCATATCTTATTGAACATATAAAAACAATTGTTCGAGTAATCAATTTGTATGGTTTAGAAGGGTCAAACTATTTAATTCTATATATCATCTCATAATTTACATAATTCGATAAAATATTAGATTATATTCAAAGTAAGTTTTTCTGCTCATAAAATTAATATACGAAAAATTGTTATTAATGGTTTGACGTTATTTGATTTCTTTTTTTTTTTTTATTATTGTTGAACTTTATCGTTTAAGAGAAACTGTAAAAGAAAAATGATAATAATTTAGAAAGTATAAAAATTGTATATAGTTCACGATGATGGATTTATTTGTATGAAAGTGTTAGTAAAACAAAAATGATTAAATTGTTAATCGAAGTTTGTTTCTTCGAATAGACTGTCATCAAATAATTAATAATAAATGATTAATGATATAACGTGGAAGAAATTATAGCTTAGGATCGTAGTGGTGGTTTATCGTTGTTCGTAGATCGTTTCGTAGAAAGTACAAAAATGATAGTATCGACAAATCGATTGGTTCCGGAAACATTCTTGGAATCTTGTATTAGGAATATCGATTGAGAGAGTCACGACAAGGAAGAGAAAGTTTTTGCCCTTCTTAGGATTGTACTCGCTTATACTATTTCTCATATATGTATGGAATATTTCAAATTGTCTCGAATAATTTGCGTGCACTTGCAATTATGTTGTAATATCGTTAATAGACATTTAGAACAATTTAATTGTGATACTTATATCAATTGCAGTAATAGTTTTCTCATAATTCTATTTTGTTGCTATATTTTTGTTTACATAAATTTTTTAATTAATCAAATGTATATAATTACTTAGGTATTTAACAAAATTATATATTCATTTATCATGCCAATTGCAATAAGATTTTTTGTTTTCTATAAAATAAAACATTCGTTCTTAAATATCATTCGATTTTATATTGTTATTAGTTATTGTAGTTTTTAATTATAAACGAATTTTATCGTACTTCGAAATAATGATTTTTTTATTTTATAGCATTTAAAAACGTACCTCTCTCAATATGACTGTTTAATTGATGATGGATAAAGATTAAACATCGTATTAATAGTTTAAACGTTTTAGTCTTTGTGTAGTTGAAACTATAAAGTTGATGATGCTTTTTATAGCGATCTACATTTTCATCGACTAAACAACGTACGTATAAATGCAGTTGTCTAATAGATTATTCTCAAGATGAACGTATTACAAATCGTAACGTAATAACATTTTAACACGAGATTTTAAAGGGGGGGCCGTTAAATGTTCATCCCATTTCTGCCTATGCAATTGTCGGTTCGCTGTTATTTTTATTCTCATCGCGAGAATAAAATACGACACAAACAAAACAATATCATATTTTATTTCCTGCGTATAATTAAATAAATACATATACATTCCTTTCGAGTTCGGGGTTTCAAATAAAATATAAAAATATAAAACAAAACTTAATTAGTTATTTCTCTCGTCCAAAATTATAATACTTGATAAGGTATCACAGGGAACTTGGACATAACTATTGAACATAACATCTACTTCTTTTTTATGTCCAAGTTCTCTGTGATACCTTATCAAATAAAACAAAACTTTTCGTTATTATTTTATTTCACGACAAACGCGTAAGGGGATGTCTCTTCGTAAAAAAAAAATGTTTGCAGAAAGTTATAAGTGTAATAATGTTTGCAATAAGTAATAAATGGTTAAAAATATAAATGATGAAAAATTGTTATCGAACAAATTACAATTACAAATAGAATTTTGATATTATTATATTTCTTGTCTCTTCATCTTGTGTACGTACTTACGTGAACGTGATATTATATAAGAAGTGTTTTAAGAAATAACTGGAAAGTGAAGTTTTACGATGCACGTAAAGAAAGAGAGAAAGAGAAGTAAGGTGCAGGTGAAGGAGAAGTGTAGGGGGGAAGGGGGTTCGAAGGAGAGAAACATTTAATTGTTATCGTTCAGCACTGTGAGAGACTTTGACACGTACAATCGGATTGTTCTTTGAACAATAGACTTGCTCGTAAAGTCAATCCTATCAGGGCTACTTTCAAGGACGAGGAGGTACGAAGACCTCGAGTCACGATTGGCTTCGGTTTATTACTTACTTGAGAGTTTTACAAAAAATATAAAAAAAGAAGAAGAAGAAGAAGAGTAAAAGAAAAAAATTTCATTTATTTATTGACTTAAGAGTCATTCAATCTTAAATAAATATATCCTCTTCGATATATTTATATATCAAATATTAAATATTTTCTATTAAATATCATATACGAGTGGGTTGCAAAAGTTTTTAACTAGATGTAGAAACGATTTTGTTTTTTACTTTCTTTTTTCTCTACGGGAGTAGTCAAATTAATTTTTATAATTCTTATTTTTCTACTTGGTCTCATAATTCTTCAACTCACCTTCGTATTATAGCAATTGTTATATACTTATACTGATATTATTATATTAAATATAACATCATAGAAATTTTTTAAATACATAATAAGAATAAAATTTATCGTAGGAAATAAAATGAAATGAAATTGTTAAATAAGTTTATGTAACTTAATAGTTACATTATATTAGAGTTATAGAAGTTTTTAATTAACCTAATTCAAGTATATGTTTATACCTATAATCATACTTTCATACAGCTATTATAAATTTCCTATTTCTTGCACGTTACATGTTGTCCCATTGCATGCTGATAACATATTATTCAATAATTACCTTCAAAAATATAATATTTTGTGAAAATAACATTTCTTAAATCTGATTTCATTTTTAGATTGAAAAATAGAAAACTCTAGGATATTAATCACCCCCCTATTACCCTGCCATTGACTTTTCGGTAAAGTTAAAATACAATTGATGATATCTCGTGATGGTTCGCGAATGGTATCGTTGTTCAACGATAAAATGTCTCATCCGGTTTAGTTTAGAAGAGGTCGTATAAAAGGATCGGTGGTGGTACTCTAAATGTTCCTCGTCTTCATCGTCATTGTTCATTGTCGTTTGTCGTCGACATGCAACGAAAAAGAGAGATACGCGAGGTCAAATCCGTCGAGTGAACTGGCCGGTTCAATTATCCCAATAAATTCGCTGGGTACACGGCCGAGCAATAACGCGTTCATTGATTAGCTCCTTTCTACTATTATTATGAAAGAGCAAGAGAGGTAGAGAGAGAGTGCATGCATGTAATTTCATAGTCCGTGAAATTAGGTACGTTAATCATCAGCAGATGCCTTTCTATTACTATCGTCCTTCCCAAACACTCGTATTTTCACGAGTTACTGCAACGAACTATTCCAACTTAACAAACCACCTCCCCCATCCGCCCCATCCTTTCCCCAAGCGTTTTCGCTTCGTTTCTTAATCAAGTTGGCACCGTTCTCTCTTTTTTACAGCCCACGTGGCGCTTATGGGGCGAGGAAAGGGGCGATGGCGTCATATACACCGTCTATTTGAAGAAAGTTCGTTATCACAGACCTACGAGAAGCCTTTCCGCATCGGTAAGTTCCCTTTTTTTTCATTTTTTAATTAAACTACGTACCAATTATTACGAATGTATATCAAAAGTTTTCCTCGACTTTGTAATTTAACATTTATTTGAAAAATGTATCTCTATTGTATTTATAATATTAGGAAAAGAGTTTTGATAATATAAGTAATAGAGAAATGTTTTGTTTGAAAAATTTAAATTGTTAAATTATACATTAATTTATTTTTTAGGATTCGGATGATGAAATCTCGCATTTAGAATGGGAGACTGTAAGAGTGCGATTTTTAAAAGCGGGCACCGTTCAACGTCTCGTGGAGAGTTTAGCCAACGACGATGGCGAACTCGAGTCGACCTACATCAACGTATTCCTTGCAACATATCGTGCTTTTACCACACCGCGAGAAGTGCTCGAACTGCTTCTCGCCAGGTACGATGCGCTCGACGAAAGTACAGGTGCCCTCACCGGTGAACAACATCGCAAAACCCTCATTCAAGCGCTTCACGTTTGGCTCGACGCCTATCCCGGTGATTGGAAGACCCCACCGAATCATCCCTTACTCGCTAGGCTTCTCGATTTTGCTCATAGACGTTTACCTGGCTCGGAACTCGAGCTGAAGGCTAAGCATCGTTTGCATAGATTCCAACGCGAGGATAAAGTTGGTAAGATATCTCTTCTATTTGAATATTTGATGTAATAATCGATAAGTAAAAAATATCTCGGTATATTTTAGATAATAATTTTCTTCAGACGTTTATTAATCAAACTTATAGTATTATAATATGTGTCAGAATATAATATGACACTTGACTGATATGATTCTAAGAATATTAACACAATAAAAATTTATCTCATAATTTATTTTTTCTTTTTTATATTAATTATTTACTTTATCTATTTAATAAATCATAAAATAAAATTTTGTTATTCACATCATATTAACCCTTTGAACTATAGCTATTATATTTTTAGTAAAAAAACTTTTAATTATAATATAGTTGCTTTAATTAATTGAACGAGTAAATTACATTTTTTATCAAGATTTGTTTTTTTTACTTGAAGAAGGTGGTCCTATGTAGTGTACTCTAAGGTATATCATGGTATACTATAGACTTGCATAGTTTTTAATTTCTGCGTGATGGAAAGAAGACCTCAGTTGTATTAATAATTTTTTCTTCTTCTCTTGTGCAATTTGCAATATGTAACGTAGACTCTTTTTCTATACACTCATTCAACAGTTGCTAACATTCATTTGATATTCGTTCAATATTAGTTATCCAACGTATAAATTAGTATCGTATTTGAATTAGTTTTTTCATTAATTTTATGGACAATCGTTCTATTGGAAATCGTTGAATGGGTCGATAGATAGAACTCCTCGTTCGTTTATGACCTTAAACACCTTTTCTTTTTTTTTCTTTTTTTCAGTGCTAATCATTAACGTGGAAATGTAGAAAGATGATATCATCGAGCAAACGTCATTCACGTGTATTACGTTATTTCCGACCGAGTAGTATGACACATTAAAAATGCGTTAATTATAATCCATTATCTATAGAATTAAAATAATAATTTTTAATGTAAAATTCGCGTTCGGAGGATTACGACGAATGCATTAGGACCGGTAGAGAAACTATCCTATTTTAATTCTGTGATTTTGTGTTAACGAGAAAATTAAATTAATTATTATTAATAGATATTATTCAATCGATCGATCCGATCCGATTCGTGCTTTTGTGGTTATTCGTAATTTCCGTTTTATGATCGAATATTTAGAATGGATCCTCTTCTGTGGTCGTGGATGTTATATTAAACGATACGAATGTTTGCTACCGGATGTTTGCTCGTGTTCTTATCACGATCGGTTCGTTGGGAAATGTCGATGAATATGCTGAGGATAGCTGTTCATCGTAAACCATCGACTTAACTGAATCATTCCTATGACTGGATAATAAAGACCAGCTTTCTTGTATTAACAATAAGCCTCGTGTTGCACCTGCTCAGCTTGAAAGAATTTCGCTTTGATGGGATCGTACGAATCGGATCTGCTTGTTTATCTAGATTATTTGCCGAGTCATGACTTTTACAAACATAAGTTAAACGTATTTCTAAAAAAAATGAAAAAATGATTGAGAGAAAATTAGAGCGGAAGAAGATGATATACAGTCAGGGATAAAAGTAAATGACTGGACAGGAATTAGATATGATTATCGGTGAAATTCATTGAAAAAATATTATTTTATTATTCTTATTTTTAATAAAAAAAAATATTCCAAACAATTTTGTTAAGTTTACGGTTCTCTTATACTATATTACATATTTGTTTGCGTATATGTAACGTTACACGCTACTGCCGAATTTCTTTTTTTCTATTCGAAGAAACTGTTGAATAAAAAATAATTAATATTTAAACTTTTTCGTATAAATAAATGGTATTTTTAATAGAATACTAATATAATGTGCATAAATATTAATTGGAATATATGTATGTCAATTTTCAGACTGCGTCGTGTACGACAATGACCGAGTTCATGGCAGTTCAAATTCGAACGGTGATCAAGGGACCAATTATACGTTCCCTGAAGTTCCTCAACGACACTTTGCCGAACAATTGACTCGCATGGATGCCGAGGTTTTTAAAAAACTCGTTGCACATCAATGTTTAGGAGCAGTTTGGTCGAGAAGAGATCGTTCGAGGAATCACGAGGCAGCTACAGTTTTAGCAACAGTTAATCAATTCAACGCAGTATCCTTACGCGTTATCTCGACTATTTTGATAGAACCAACTATGAAGTCGCAAGATCGTGCGAGAATTCTCGAGGCGTGGATCGATATAGCACAGGAATTAAGAGTCCTCAAGAATTTCAGTAGCTTGAAGGCCATTGTTTCCGGTCTACAAAGTAATCCGGTTTACAGGCTAGAAAAATCTTGGCAATCTATGCCAAGAGAAAAGCACGAACTTTTCCGTGAACTCGAAAGAATATTTTCCGAGGAGAATAACGCATGGACCCAACGTGAATTGTTGATCAAAGAAGGGACAGCTAAATTTGCGGACACGGCAGGTAGAAGCGATAGACATCTTCAGAAATTATTTCAGAAGCAAAATACTCACGCCGGAGTAAGTTTCACGATAATAATCAATAGTTCAATTCGATTATTATAATATGTAAATATAAAAGCCACCCTCTTGGTTTTGGTGTGGTCTTCCTATATATAAAATAAAAATGTTTAAAAAGATTTTGTTTTTCATCGTAGATTTTGATAATTTTCAGAACATCAGTTACGGCACGATACCGTACTTGGGCACGTTCCTGACGGATCTCACAATGATCGACACTGCTATCCCGGATACGATAGCGGACGGTCTGATCAATTTCGATAAGAGACGAAAGGAGTTCGAGGTACTCGCAAGAATAAGACTGCTTCAAGGAGCTGCGAACGCTTACAACTTTAGTAAGGATCAATCGTTCGATCGTTGGTTCCATTCCGTAGTGGTGTTGGATGATCGAGAGGCGTACAAATTGAGCTGTCAAATAGAACCTCCACCGCCCGGTAATACCTTAAATAATCGGGGCAAAAAGAAACAGGTCAGAAAATAATAATTAAGCTCGATTTCGTTGATCGATTAATTCGTCCACTATATTCTTACCTTAGTCGAAAGATGATTGAGCCGAAATTTGTTTTACAGAATCATCAAGGTCATCGGAAGAACGACTCGATAGCGTCGACTTCTAGCTCGAGCAGTTCGCAATTCTATTGCGATCTCGATTCTTTACCAAGCTCGCCCCATAATTCCTTGGATCGTCGTACATCACCGTCGCAAATGTCAAGTTCCTCGTCGAGTTCGTCTTTGCCATCATTGGACGTATCCTTGAGCTCGGGTGGAGGTGGCGGGGGTGCGAACGCGACAAATCGTTTGGCACCGCCGAGTGGAACTTCGTTGACAGCGAATGGAAGTACACCGAACTTGGTTGGGCTCTCGAGTCCGAGTCATTCCCACAAGAATTCACCGGATTTTTATATTATCAAGGTTACCATGGAGAGCGAGAACGTAGAGACGGACGGTGTGGTGCTTTACAAATCCATCATGTTATCTAACAACGAGAGGACTCCCCAAGTAATAAGGAACGCTATGCTTAAATTAGGGATCGAGGGTAGTCCCGATCAATATACTCTCGCTCAAGTTTTACCCGATCGCGAAATGGTCTTACCCCATTCGGCTAATGTTTATTACGCCGTCAACACCGCGCACAATCTTAATTTTATTCTAAGACCTAAAAGAGACGTCAATGATTCTACTGCCACGGACAGTCCCAAAAGTAAAACAAGTCATAATCACAAACGGTAGTGTTGGCTACACGAGGATCTTATCCTCGGTCTATCCTCGAAACTTTCAATGCGACACGATCGTCTTTCGCAACTCGAATACGATCACGATTGATGGGAGGGCTGTTGGAGATAGAGAGGAGGGAGGGAGGGGGGTTAAAGGAAAGAAAGAGACAGAGAAAACATCGATTTCTTTTTATTTCTTACGTTTCCTCGAATTTTTCATCCCTCTCGGAACGTGTTCGCTGTTATTCATATTTTTTATTTTATCCCTGTTATATTTGATCGTTTGGAACATCCTCGATATCTCCGAATCTCATTTAGCGCTGCCATTTGGTGCATCTCGCTATTAACTTGTGTTGTTTTCTCTTTCATTTTCTTTTTTTTTTCTCCTTTATTTTATTTTTTTTTTTTCTTTTTTTTTTAACATCCATGACAGAAAGCCGTATCATCCGTTACACTTCGTAAATCGAATCGAACGATCGCGAATGCATTTAATTTTTAAGCTACTACGTCATTTTTATCGTTTTATTGCAACATTAATCAACGGATTAATTAAAGTATTAGTGCAAGGAATACGTTTAGCATGGATCATATGTTTTTATCTATCGCATAAAGAGAGATTGTTTAAGTCGAGAAAGAATGTAATTGATGATGAAAGGTTCAGTATTACAATGTAATATCGAACTTGAAACGTATATTTACAAACGTTTTAATACAAGTGCATAACATACATATACATACACAAGTTGCATATACACATCTATCCACGTATACGTATTTATATTTACATTGACTTAGCGGTTATATTGAGATTATAAGGAGAAACAATTTGAATAAGAAGAAGAAGAAGAAGAAGAAGAAAAAGTGTTCGAGTTGAAGAGAACGTTGGAGAATTGTGATCATTGTATATAAAAATCTTTAGGAGTTTCGTGTTGAGAGGTTTCGTTAATGATAGAACCGGCAAAGTGTGGACCAAGTTATAAAATCATTCATTGAAAGAAAATAAAACAAAATTAACAGGGAAGATAAATACATGAATAAATACATACGTACATACATACATACATACATATATATTGTCAATTAATAACTTTCAACGAAACGAGAGAAATTTAATATTACATGTCGGTGTGTAGTAGAAACCTTTCGCAAAAGGGAAGACCAAACGTATTATACATTGTAGTCTCGTTCGAGTGAATTATTTTAGGGAGATATAGAAAAGAAGAAAAAATTAAAGGGTTGGAGAGGGAGGGGAAAGAAAAGAGAATAATAAAATAAAAAATAGAAGAAACAAAAGGAATTGGAAGAAAAAATGGGCAAACGAATTCTGTGATATCGGAGTCTCTTATTCTGGCCTCGAGTAGAAATAATGGATCATTGACAATGGATCGGGTTTTCATTTCTATACGAAATCAGGAATTTTTTACGTTTATATCTCGTCTCTCGAATAAATCGAATGAACGAATTCATCGCAAAATCAGATAAGCAAAACTAGAGGTCTAAGCTAAAACATGATCGTATATCGTTCGATTCTATTTCGCGATGTTACCTGCTATTACTAAAGCAGATTGTCGATAAATTTTTAACAAGCAATTGTGAATAAGGAACGTGGAATGTAACGCAAAGTAAAGAAAACAAAAAAACAAACAAAAATCGATAGAGGAGACTGTTTAGAAAAGAAAAAAAAGAAAAAGAGAGAAAGATGACCAATTCGCACAATGCCGATCGAGCTTAATTTTTGTTGATCTAGTTGGGCGTTCTGTGTGTGTGTGTGTGTGTAAGTTTTTCTTTTTCTATTTCTTTCTTTCTTTCTTTTTTTTTTTTTTTAAATTAGCGTTTTAGGCAATTTTGTACTTATCTTTGTCGAACTCCCTTTGTTCGGATTAGCTAGTTATTAATTATAATAATATACGTGTTGTTGTACACACACCTATCCGTTAATGATCGAAGTCGCGTCGTGCAAAATGGATGTATAATGTAAACCGATAACAAAAACGAAAATAGACGGCCTAAACTTTTTCATGATTTATCGAAGATCCTATCGGCCCTTCAAACAAATTTCCGTATCCACGTAATTCGATTGTTTCCAGGGTTCCTGATTATCCTGGTGTATATAATACATATATATTATATATATATACATACCATAGTTTTGTCAAATATGATAGATCATCGTAAAATAATTTAACACATAAGGTATAATTTGTCACGATAATCTCGTGTGTATATCTTTTAAAATTATTTATCCCCTCTTACCCCTTTACAACAACAACAACAACAACAACAATATTCTTCCTTAATTAATCATAACATAAATTTTGTTTTACATTTTCCTGACGATAGATCGCAACCTGTATCCATCTATAAGAGCCATCCATTGTGAATTTATCCGATATCATTAATATCCTGAATCCTCGAAAATTTCCCTCTTGGATGAACGACGATGCGTTAGCTAGGTAAAAGCGATAACGTCGCTCCACCAAGCCGATGAGTGGACTTCCGGAATGCAAGTACATCCGGCACGCGAACCTGTTGAGCCAAGGTTAAAATGGGAGAGAGAGTGCAAGTACCCTAAGTTTCATTTCAAAGCCAGGTAGGTAAAGTCTTTAGTTTAGTCTTTAGCTCGTGCTAAGAATAAAACCCAAGTTAAATGGTGTTCCTGAACGATTTGTCTTATCTATATATTTCTTTACTACTATATATATATATATATCTTTTCTGCTTTACTGAATCAATGTGATAATGAAAGCAAAGCTTTCTACTGCGACAACGACAAGGATGACGACGATGAGGAAAAAGAAGTATTGTATAACAACGGAAGTTGATATTAGACGTTGCCACGAGTTTAGGAAACTGGTTCAAGGTCAGACCAAATACGTCAGAGATAGAAATTCGCTAACTGTTTGAATTTTAGGACGTATACACCTACATAATTCGTGCTTACAATTTCATCGATTTATATATATATTTTTCTAACGAATTTATGCACATCCCACTATCATTCCGTTTTATAATTCTTCTATAACTTTTAGTTTTCTCTGTATACGTAGTTTGAAGTTTAAAGAGTAAAGAGAAAAGAATATTTTGACGTGTATATAAGTTTGCATTTTGTAAAGTTAAATTACATGTCTGACCATGTTTACGTTTTTTTTTTACTGTGAACTGACAACTTGATCTGTTGATGTTAATACGTAAGTACAGGGGATGATAATGTTTTTGATTTATGTTTTTCATCAAAGAGAGAAAAATAAGATTCATATATATTTATATACGTAGTGTGATTATTAATCAAATTCATATTTCAATTCCGCATAATAGTTTCTTTACTTACACAACGAATTATACTATACGAGAATCGAACCTGTGAGAAGATTGCCAAGAAAATTCTCATTTTAAAGGCAAATATTTTTCAATCGGATTCAAAAAGAGAAAATGAAGATGAGAAAGGAAGAAGTAGCTAGTAGTAGGAATAGAATATTCCAAAAATAGCCTCTTTTCTTTTATAGATCTCTCATACTTTTTGATCTATCACGTATAAAGGCGTATTCGAGCAAAGAAAATTGTCCAATTGCCGTTTTGTGCGTATCGAGTCCGTGTACAATTCTCTGCAGTTGAAAAAAACCAATGGGTGGTAATGAACATACGAAAGGGATGAAAAGATAAACGAATTGATTGATACAGACATTTGATTTCTTTTTCTTTCTTTTAGGTAGTATATAAGAGAGAGAGAGAAAATAATTTTACATTGAACAAAGACGGGAGAAATGATTTGTCGCAAATTGTAGACAAAAATGAAGTAAACTATTATAAAATAATTCAAATAATTTATTATTAACTCTTCGAATACGATTTTTTGTCTTCGTATTGAAGTAAAATTAGTTGGTCAGATCGAATAGAACGTAATACGATTGATTGGTCCTTTTTTATCTTTTTTATTCTATCTACATTTATATAAATGTTATTGTGTCGAAATTTTACTTTGTATAAAATTAACTTTAAAAATATTAATTAAAAAACGTACGAACTTTTAATTCATCCTAATATTTATCATTGGAGAAATCAACGAATCCAGAGTTTTCGTATATCATTCATAACAAATTGAAACGAAATATAATTATAATTAAATCTATCAAAAATTAGACGCGATTTAAATAAATAATTGTTTAACGAAATGTGTAACATATCGAAGTAACAAACGGAGAGTGATATTATAAGCCTCGCTCAGTTGTAAATGAGTTTGCGCGTTGAGAATAAGGGTTGAACGATACCACTACCAAAGAGGGTAGTGAAGGGTGGAGAAGGAGTAATAGTAGTAGCAGTAGCAGGAGCAGAAGGGGTGGTAGAAAAATAGTTAGAGTAAAGTATCGTGAGATGGCGCATCGTTAGTTTAGGGGGGGTCGAACTAAAAGCTAGTATAGGGATATATAGTCGCCGATTGAACCGGTGAACTCGAGGATATGCAACCCCCGGCTGAGGCCTCGGCCTCGCTGACAGTGGCGGCAGTCGCGAACAGTCGCGAGCTCGGTGCCGAACTGGGGCGATGTTGCTTGTCATTCGTTTACGCGATCAACACGAATTTTCGCCATTGCTGGTGCCGTCGGTAAAGTTAATAATCATCAAACGTATTTATATTTTCTAATTACATTCGTATCAATCTTTTATCGTCCTATTAATATATAACATTATTAGTATTATTATTATTCGTATTATTCGTATTCGTATTCTATTAGTTCTCTAGTGAACATATTTTTTCTTTCGTCTCAATTAAATCATTATCATTACAAATATTTGGTCATTATTATTATTACTACGGGACGCCATAGCGATCGGTTCGCTAACTTCGACTATTACGCGACGACGATACCCACCTCGATATCACACGTGAGCAAGACGACATTCTTCTACGAACGAGATGATAGACGTAAGTTTAGAATCTACTACAACAAAATTCACGAACTTTTTATTATATTTTATTTCTATTTTTTTTCTTTTTCTTTGGATTATTGTATAGGGGGGGGGGTTTATTATCGTCGTCGTATTGGTTTCTTTGATGATACTAATATTTGATTGTGTACTATATTAATTGGTTATTAAACCAACGGTAAACTCTTTGAATTGAAATATTATTTAATCGTTCGTCAAAGTTACTTCGAATATCGATGATATCGTAATTATTTATCTTTCGTTGTTCGTTTCACGTTGAGATTTTCAGTCGTATCTCACTTGGCCTTGTTACGATAGAGGAAAGAAGAATGAATAATTAATAAACAGGGGGTGGAGGGGGTTAATTTATGAAAGAACAAAGTGTTACCAAAGATTGTCGGTTACTTCAATCGGATTATTTCGTCAAGGTCTTATGACGCCGAACTCGTTCTTCGAGATATTGGAAAGAACGAAGAGGAATTATGATCGGAGATCGTGGAAGCACTTGAAAGTCTAAACAGCAATGGCGCGCGATCGTTGTTCCGTTTGACAGAGTTCTGTACAATTTCGTTTGATCCTTTGATTATTTTCTTTACTTGCTAGTTATTTTTATAACGTTTATGTAGTAGTCGCGTTTACATTTTACTATCTATCGAGAACCTGGCATTTACCTACTTACTTGCAGAATATATTATTATTATTATAGATAGAGATATATTCAAACGATTATTATTTTCTTATTTACCCCACGAAAGATTAAAAGAAATGTTTTTCTCTTAAGGTAGAAAAATCATGATATTTAACGTAATATAAAACATAAAATATCTCGCACATATCTATTCTTGTATAAAGTATATTATTACTATTTTTCATTCTTGGTACAAATCCGTATACTTTCTGTTTCCTTTGAAATTACACATACACACACACATATTTTTTGATTTATTCGTATTTCTTTATTTTCTCCGCCAAGTTTGATCAAAAAACACAAGTCCGTCGTAACACACACGGAAGATTTTGTGTGTTGCGTCATTACTATCGTATGTTAGAAATTCCTTAATCAACCGTTCCTTTTTTCCATCAAGAATTAATGAGCTTCACGTCAAAGGAGAAAAATAATTACTAATTTTGTGTAGGGAAATTTAATTTCTCTCATGGAAAAAAAAAAAGTATTATTTAAAAATTCATTCATATAAAAGAAAAAGATAATTTCTAGGAACGTTTGTGCAGCGAATTTACTTGTATGCTTAATTTATAAAAATGGGAATAAACAATTTAGCGTATCGCAATGATAATATTTAACAAAAGTAAGTTTGTAATAAATTCAAAATACTTTCGCGGGTTTATTACGGGTGCGTGAAAACTTCGTTATTCCGTGCCAACAATTCGGACCAGGGGGTTTGCTTGAAAACCTGTAGATTATACGTTCGCTTGCCAAATTACCGAAAGCTTTTCGCCTGGTGGAAACACGAATTTTTTCTACGCTCGTGAACTATGTAATAAGATATGTATATCCAAGGGTAGTATAGAATCGATGTGTTTTTCTACGAACTATTTCCTTACCTTGCTATACCATATACATCACTTATGTTAGTTTATCGTCAAGAGAAGTAAAAATGGTTATATGAAATAGTCACACAATATCATTATTCTATACGTAATCGATTTTAACGATCATGCGATAATACCATTTATTCATTTCTTTTTTTTGTTTAAAGCATTTCTTCCTTTTTCTTTTTCTATTGTTATCATTTTTAATCGTTAAAGATATAAATTTATTTATGAGAACAAAAAATTTGAGATATTAATCTATTATCTTCTGACTTATTATTTTTCATGATCGTTCTTTGCTTTAGATTATATTTGCTATGTTAATATACAGTTTTCGTACGTATATTTCTTTTCTATTATACACTTGTAATATGTTATTTAACGTTAGATTTATCAATTGATCAATATAATTAACTCTAATCGTTATATATATTTCTATATTAAATTTAATCTTTTCTAAATCAAAACCAACTCTGTGTATAAAAATAATATTAGAAATGTCGGTTTTTTTTTTTTATTATTCTTAGGTGATAGTCTTGTGGTACCTATAGAAAAGAAAAATATATATAGAGGTAATTAAATTGACAATTACAACAAAAAAATAAGATAGATCGATTGTGTGGAAATTTTCAAATTTGACGTCGTTCATGTTTTCAAGATGTGCATAAATTCGTACACACATACGAAAGATCTTTTTTGCATTTTTATTCTTTCATAAAAGTAGAGAGAACAGTCCGAGAGACACGAGGTCCTCCTCTTTTACACCCCTACACCCTCCTACTCCCCATGGTTAAAGTAATCTGGGGAAATCGTGCGCGCGCATATCCACTTTTACAGTGGAGAATACATTTTCCACGACGAACACTGCTTTTGTTAAATCGTCGAAGAGTTTTTTTATTTGCGTTTTAACTTGTAAAACCGATTGGTTGAATTCGGCTGCCGAATGCAGGCAGGGGACACTCACCAACAGGATCCTTTTGTCCGATTACTTCTTTTATTATCGAGTAGGTAGAAATACTCGTATTGACAGAATTCTCTTTTTCGGAAATGCAATATTCGATGGTGAATTCGTTTACATCGAACGGACAGCATCCTATTTCGTTTTCGACGTTTTTACCCTCAGCCCCCCAGCCTGCTTTCCATTGAATTTTGGGGATACCCCAAACGTCAGTTAAATATGTCAGTTGTTTCTAAAAACCAAATATTAAACACGAAGAATATTCTATTTTTAATTATTTCTTATAAAATTGATCTCCTTATTATTTTTATTCGACAAATGAAAAACAATATGAGAGAAAGAGAGAAAGTAGTCAATTTAAAAACAAAAATTGAAAAGAAATAATAATACTTTGGTACGTGAAAAATAGAGAGAAAGAGAGAATAGAGAGATAAATATTTTATTCAATTTTACTGTGCTTTGCGCGGATATACAAAGGAACGAGCGTAAAATAAATGAAAAATAAATAAATAATAAATGATATTAATTTGATATATAGAAAATATTGATTTAAATGAATCGCGCAGAGAGGTATATAGATTATCTATTTTATTCTATTATATTTTCATCTTTCCTATGATATAAATATATAAAAATTAAACGTCAAACAAAAAAATGACAAAATAATAACACAGATGCTATAATAATAAATTTATAAAAAGAAAAAAAGGAACTATAACGATTCGATATAAAAAGAAAATATAGAGGGAAAGGAAAAAGAAAAAGAAAGAGAGAGAGAGAAAGAATGATAAAAAAAAAGCACGTAACATAAGAAAGCTTTAAAGCCGAACCCATAAGATGTAAGTATCTTTTGTTTGTCCATCGTTTCTTATCCTTGTAGACGCTCGAGTTTCCCCTTCTAATGGTTCCAACAATATTTGTATTTTAACTTACAATCACAGGGAAAAAGGAAGTAGAATCAGTGAAATTTTCTTAACACGCGTAACACACGTAGTAGACATTTCTATATACGTTCTAATGGTATTTCTGGTAATTCAATTAAATATCATTTCGAGTTTCACCACGTTTATTACGTTTATTTTGTTATTTTCATTGAACTGAGATTGACCATATATTAACATCACGTACCATACCGTACCATACCATACCATACCATACTCATCGAATTTATTTGTAGATTTTATTCGAGATTACAACTACAAAATTATTACACGTTCTGGCAACGAATTCGAATTAATTAATACCAGTCACATAAGTTCAAAATTAACAATTTTTATAATTTGTAACTTATTACATAGAATTCAAGATTAAACATTGTTCCAATTTGACAAAGTGGAATAAGTCGAAATGATCTTTCTCTCTCTCTCTCTCTCTCTCTCTCTTTTATTTTTATTCGTAGTGATACTTTCCAGTCCACGACCTCATGGCTGTTAGAATCGATCTTCGTGACGTAGTACGTGAACTTCCCCCTTCGTGGAAAAAAGGCGAGGAACTGGCTTCACCATGTTAATAACTAATAACTATACTATTATACTTATTATACCTAAGTTCAAATAGAAACGTGTGCGCACGTTGTTATTACGTCGAACCGTTTCTATTTATTTCTAATTTAAATCATTTTTTTCAATTTATTATTTGTTCAATATATCAAATGAAAAATATTCTATCAACGACGTTTGTGAAAATTTATTCAACTTACTCGAATAAATAATATATAATATAATTCGTTTAAAGCGTAAAATTCATAAGACTTTTTTTCAAATGAATTTCGAAGGGATACAGTACGAATGAAATTACTATTTATGCATATCAAAAATAGTGTTATTAATATTATTAAATTAAATACGTGGAAGGGTTGACAAGTTTTAAAAAGCTTACAATTTTCATTTTTTTTTTGATGGCAAATAATAGACGATATTTTCATTATTAGAATTCAAGGTTTTCTCCAACGATCGTGGATTGTTAGATTTGATAATTTCAAACTTCTTTAGCTATTTCTCGTGATGTTATGCGATTATTATTTGCATCCACCGGTGCATTAATTTTGCCGTAATCATCTTTAACTGTACAATCCTTTTACGTGGTAAATATTTCAAAATGAAAATGACCAGAACGAAATTTCCAATAGTAATTTTGACTCTGGCGTTCGTTTAAATGTATACTCTTCGTAAATGGCATATAATTTTGTTCTCGTTTGCACCGCATTATTAACCCTTGCGGTAACGAATAATAAAAGATAATAATATGAAGAAATTACTCACTTTGATTTTACGTTTCTGATGCGTTGCGGTAAAAAAAGAAAAAATTCTTGACAGATCGAAACATAATTTTAAGGTTTGGAGTAAGATTCAGGTATCGGTAAATACGATTAATGAAGAGATAAAACTTAGAAATAAATAATATTAATAACACATATATAAATAATATGTATGTGTGTGTGTGTGTGAATATTTATGCATCCATATAGTCTAGACGTTATATAATTAATG